CTTATTCGTTCTAGTGGCGACAAATTATTATCTAACATTCAAAGTCTGGTACATTCGACATACCTGTAGGTACATTTGACGCCAAATTTGAGAGCACGATTATGACAGCAGCTAAAACTACCATTCCCCCAATATGATCTATCTTTGCATAAGGCTCCATGAAATCCCACACAGTGCTCGGAATTCCAGTTCTGTTGAAGCCATCGACTGTAATGAACATTCCGCAAAAGAATACCAAGAGCGAATAGGATACCTGATTTAGAAAATAAAATAGCATCAATAACCTTTTCCGAATAAGATGCCTAATCTCATTAATATAGTGCCAATGCAATTTTGGCATGAAGTATTAAGATTGTACTGGACAATTTTTATTTTTATAATAGGCATTATTGTCTTCTTTTTTTTTTTAAGTATTGTTCAGTACTATCTTATCAAATTTAACAAGAGAAATTATTAAATCGGTGTCACCTTTTCTAAACACGGTTCGGCATCTTTAAAATCAAGAACAACCATGGCAAGTGCAGCTGTGATTACAGTCCAGGACATATTTAGACCGACCAGCAAAGAAACTAGCATTCCTATGGTAACAAGATAAACACACGTCTTCCACAAAATTCTTTTCCAGTTTTTCGGTGATGCAGAGTTTCCGTGTTCACTACCGTTCAAAGATGGAATACATTTTGAGGACAGAAATCCATCATTTGCAATTTCTTTCGAAGGATTTGAATGCCTAACGGATTCAGATTGCAAACACGGGACATTATGGATTTCACCTTCAGTTGGACTGCCACCATTCCCAAGTGTCTCAACATGATTCGTACAAGTATTTACATTAGGAGAGAGATGAATATTATCACTCTCAATCATAGTCCCTCGGTCTCTAATAGTCTCACTATGATTTGTAGAACCATTGGGATTAGAAGAGCTGCAAATAATTGTAGATTCCAGTCCGGAATGGAATTCTTGAGAATTTGAAGGTGTGTGATGAGACAACTTTGCTGGAGAAAAACGATATGAGGTTACGTCTTCTTCAGCAACCACTTCCATAGTGGCATCTTCTTCATCCTTATGAACAGATAACAAATTCCAATACATATAGAGCAGGATCAAAGCATTGACTAAAACTCCTACAAGCATTGCCCGGAAAATACCAAATAAAAAATTCCCAAAAGAAATCTTACTCTGAACAGCTATAACTAAGTTTTGAGGATTGCCAATAGGGGTTGCCGATGACCCGATATTTGCACTCGAGGCAAGGGCTAATAGGAATGGGCGAGGAGGGAGATTCTGCTGCCGAGC